GCTAGAGTATAAAATGACTGATATTTTACTTACTGTTTGTAGTAAAGGCAAAAGCATATTCAGTGGATTACTCAGGTTAGTTCCAAAAATTATGAAACCAGAATCTATTCCAGCTGAATGAAGAGCTTTATCTAAACTACAACAAAAAATTTATAAAGAGTGAAATTTATGTTATACTATCACAGTTTTAATTTAGAAAGAATGTCATCATAACTTAAGCATGCAAATTCATTTGAGTCAAAGAAAACCATGGATAACAAATTAAACCTCACTTAAATATCTCACAGGTATTATTCAACTGATAGAGAATAAAGAAATACTGTCTATTACTGGCCCTGTTAGCCATTCTTTGAGTTAATACTACAGTAGAACACTTCAAGTGAAATAGCTACTTAAGATGAATAGGCTACACTAATGGAATCTAACACCAAAAATGTATAATATTACAGGATTTGTATAGTGATTTAGAAAATGTGTCTATTATACTTACTTTGACAAGAAGAGAGAAATTATAAACAGCAATGCAACTAAGATGAAAAATACTCCCCAAATGATCTAAAAGCAAAAATACATTCATTAAAATATAGTTCTAAAAGTTGGAATTAAAAGCACAAAACCATTACATTCAGTATGAATTGCCAGAATATGACAATGATTTAACTAAAATGATCCAATATGCATTTTAATTTAGTATACATTTAGATACATTTCATATTTGTACCTGAATTTTCATTATGAGACTACTTGGGAACATGTACACAAAAGAGACAAAGCATTTGAAAAGTCTTCACTAATACGGAAACAAATGAAACTTTGTTAGATTAAATACGAGGTTTTTATTCTATTGCACTCAAATATAAATTTTAACATTAAGACTACCACACATACACACAAAACAAAACCATGAAACTCATTTGGGTTATATTACCTTATTAGTTAAAATAGGGAATTTGGAACATTTTCTCATAGAAGTAATCTCTCTCTCTCTCTCGTGTGTGTGTACATACACACAGACACACACACACACACACACACACACACACAGAGTGTGTGTTAAATTATATCACAACCCAGAAAAGTCTATAGAAGTGATACAATTCCTGAAACAAAGTACAAATAGCACTGAAAAAACTGTCATGTAAATCAATGTTTCTGTGGAAAAATGTGTTAAGCATTATAAATAGTGGAACACATTTCTTCCTACTGTATGACCTTTATATCAGGCATGGTAGAAAAAGAGAAAGAAAAATATTAGAACTGGGCCTTTAATGAATAGTTTCATAATATAAAAGAAGTTAAATCTATGTTAGCAAAAACCTAGGCTCTTTTTTTTCCCTTCTTCCCCAAGTTCCAGGGACAATTAGGCTAAAGTTGGCATGGCCAGAGCAAAAAGGGGAGTCCTGCTGGGCCCAGTTAAGTGTATTGGGCTCCTTATTTGACTGAAATTGGTAAAAATAGATTAATAAAATCATGAATGTTAGGGAGATTTTTCATTTCATTTCACATGACTGCTGTAGTAAATTTTAGAATACTGAGGAGATAAAAGAAGTAAAAATAACAACACAACCTACTTAGCATATAAAGATGATTTTTGGAAGTAATTTTAGACCTGTGGTCTGGAGAGTTCCTCAGCTCTGACAAAGTGCCTTTGGGGATCATAGGGAAGAAGAAAGTTGGCAACAAGAAGGGATTATGAAGCCTACAGTCATCTCTTGAAATAGAGTAACATTGCATGTATCTATTTTTCATATTGGGTTTCACATGATAATTCATAATTTAAAAAGGGTTTCATTGCTAAAGAACTTTAAGGTGATTTCTTTATAGTAACAAATGTTCATTAGTAGAGGGCATAAAGGAGTTACATGTTATTTTTCTACTAGATTCAGGAACCTATATTGATACCTAGGTGAAACTGGAAGGTAGTATCATTATACTGTGGATCCACAAGTGAAACATATTCCTTCCTAATAGCTTGTTAGCAATAAATAACTTGTAGCATGAGGCAGTATAACTGCCAGATGCCAATTAGTAGTAGAGGAACATGACTAGAAATAGCACTTGAGGTTAAGATTCCCTTCCCTTGATGTTCATTTTTGGGGAAAAAAAAAAAAGTTAAAAAATATCCTTAGCTATCTTCCAAATCTGTTGGAATGAATGACCCAGAGTTAGACTGTTTAATCAGCGACTTACCAGAACACAGAATAAATGTAAAAAAGATAACCATTTTATAGAGACAAAAAAAACTATACAATTTAAATATAAGAACTTAAATTAGTACTTATAATGTCAGTGATGAGCACACTGAGTTGACCTAAATGCTATTTGTTATACTTTAGCTACGATGTCAATTTTGAAATAAAAATTAAAATATAAAGGTGACATCAGTGAAAACAGCACAGTAAAACTTCTGAAAATTTTCTCCTTCATAAAAGCAATAAGAAAACTGGCACAAATTGTCAAAATCAACTTTTTCAACACTTTGGACACTGACCTAAAAGCACTTAGCAATCCAGGAGTATTTATTCAAGAAAAGTGGTTGAATCTCAGTAAGAACAAAACGCATTCTGACATTTTAACCTGTTGCAATCCTGTATCTCCTCTCTAGTGCTGTGGTACCCTTGAAAAACAGCCTGTAAAAGTCAGCAGTCTAACACTAACAGTCACCGAAGGAAGTAAAAAGGAGCTGAGCTCTTTTAAAGTCTCATTTCCAGAGAATGGTCATTATTTGACCTGCATGGTGGTTCTGTGGAAGACGGCACTTGCGAGGCATCTATATTTGACCTTAATTGGAGCTAACACAGTACAAAAAGCCATTTTCTAGGAGTATTTGTCAAAAAAAATTTACTAGTAATCAATGAACTTCATGACTATAGAGCCAATGGATGATAGACAAAAATAAACTAACCAAAAAACTTAACAGGAAAAAAAAAAAAAAGAAAGAAAGAAACCTAGGGAATGAGATGTTCATAGGGGCTTTGAAAATTTCTAACATATTCCTAGGAATCCAGAAACGTCCTGTGCATGTCCAGGGCTGTGTGCATGATCAGGAAAGATATCACCCAACTAGGGGTGAGCCTGAGGCTCTGCACAAACAGGAAGTGAATGCCAAGGCTGAGTTGTGATGTACCTGCCTGTGTGTTGAAATGAGAAAGTATGGCCAATATAGAGAGGGAAAAAATCCAATTAACAGGCAACTGAGGAAGATCGACATTGGACTTACTAGACAAAAACTTAAAATTTGCTACTTTAAATATGTTCAAAGAACTTTTAAAAAACTATATCTTAAGAAATAAAGAAAATTATGAGAATGATGTCTCACC